CCTGATACGCCAGTTGCACCCCTTTCTGGATCGGGACGCCCTACACACGGTCATTCAAGCCCTCGTTGTTTCCCGCCTGAACTATTGCAATGCTGTCTACATGGGGCTCCCCTTGAGGCTCCAGCTAGTTCAGAATGCGGCTGTGCGGGGGATTTTGGGGGCCTCTAGATGCTCCCATGTAACACCTCTCCTGCGCGAGCTGCACTGGCTGCCGGTGGCCTTCCGGGTGTGCTTCAAGGTGTTAGTAACAACTTTTAAAGCGCTCCATGGCAATGGACCTAGGTATTTGCAAGACCGCCTCCTACCAAATATCTCCCTTTGACCAGTCCGCTCCCACAGAGAGGGCCTCCTTTGGGTACCGTCGGCCAGCCAATGCCGGCTGGCGACCCCCAGGGGGAGAGCCTTCTCTGTGGCAGCTCCTGTCCTCTGAAATGACCTGCCCCCCGACCTACATACAATTGTGGACCTGCGCCTCTTCCGCCGAGCCCTGAAAACTCATCTGTTCCATGCGGCCGGCCTGGCGTAGTTTTGATTGGGTTTTGTTAGGGGTTTTATATTTTAGAGCAGGCTTTTATGTAATATTTACTGTGATTTTTATTATTGCCTGTTCACCGCCCTGAGTCCTGTAAGGGAGATAGGGCGGTATATAAATTTAAATAATAAATAAAATAAATAAATAAATGATGGCATGGCGGCTCATGTTCTGAGCAACGGTGAAGCCTCAGAGGCTTTCCCTGTCACAAACAGCATTAAGCAAGGCTGCGTGCTGGCACCAACCTTGTTCAGCATGATGTTTTCAGCCATGCTGTCTGACGTCTTTCAGAACAGCTCAGTGGGAGTCAATCTGAGGTACAGAACTGATGGGAAATTGTTCAACCTGCGAAGACTCCAGGCTGTCACCAAGGTAAAGGAGACTGTGCTACGAGATCTTCTCTTTGCTGATGACTGTGCCCTTAATGCAGGATCGGAGCAGGAAATGCAAGCCAGCATGGACAAATTCGCAGCCACTTGTGACAACTTTGGCCTCTTTATCAACACAAAGAAAACTGAAGTGATGTACCAGCCAGTTCCAAAAGCCCAATACCAAGAGCCTACCATCACAGTGAAGGGACAAAAGCTGCAAGCAGTGGACCAATTTACGTATCTTGGTAGTACCCTCTCCCGTGCAGTGACAATTGACATCGAGGTCAATTGTAGAATTGCCAAGGCAAGTTCTGCATTTGGCAGACTGCGGAATAGCATGTGGGACCGCCGTGGAATAAGCCTTGCTACTAAGCTTAAAGTTTACCAGGCAGCAGTGCTAACTACCCTGATGTATGCTAGTGAGACCTGGACAGTGTACAGGAGGCATGTCAGGCAACTGAATTATTTCCACATGACTTGCCTTCGCAGAATTCTGAGGATCCGGTGGCAGGATAAGACACCAGATACAGATGTCCTCTCCAGAGCAGGCCTATCATCAGTTTACACTCTGTTGATGAAAGCCCAGATGCTCTGGGCAGGCCACGTTGTAAGGATGCCAGACCATCGCATCCCTAAACAGCTCTTCTATGGTGAGCTGTCTCAAGGAAAGCGATCACACGGGGGACAAAAGAAGTGATACAAAGACACGCTGAAAGCATCTCTCAAGTCCCTGGATATCGACACCATCTCTTGGGAATCTTTGGTGCATGATCGACCGACATGGCGTACCCTGGTTTACCAGGGTTGCCAGACATATGAACACAGAAGGATAATCTTGGCACAAGAGAAGCGAGCACTCCGTAAAGCCAGAGCTGCAAATGCTGAAGCAATAGTGTCCACTTTTCTCTGTTCAGTATGTGGCAGAACATTCCGTGCTAACATTGGTCTTATCAGCCATCTACGGACACACCGTTGATGGCCCATAATCCATAAAATGTCAAGGTCTTCATCGAAATCGATGGATGAACAACATTTTGGGGAGTCTATAGAATCTGGGTGTGGAGGAGTCTTGTGGTTGCATGTGCTTTCTCTCTAGTGGTGTTAGCCATTTTGCTTTTTCCATTTTTCTTAGGTTGTCTTTTATTTTTTCTCTCTAGCTATTTTGTCAGATCATTGTGGATTATTTTGTAGGTTTTGGTGTTGTTGACATTGTTTTTGACTTTGCTGTCAGTCTGCCTTTGTCTGCCAGTAAGATAATGATGCTTTTGTCTTGTTTCAGTATCTTTAGTCCTTTTGGCTGAATGTTTCATTTTGTGTGTTGTGTTGCACATTGGGGATGATTCTTTGCCTAATGTTTTCTAGTATTTCTTGGTCCAGGTGGCTCATTTTGAGAATGGAGTTGAGATTGGTGAGGAATTCAATGAAGTCAGCATCTTTGTGATTGAAATTGAGGCCATGTGTGAGGACAGTCTTTTTCTCATCAGATAGAGATCTTCTGGATAGATTTCTGATCCATAGTTCTGAGTTGTTATAGTAAGTTGCATTTTTGGGTTTGTATTTTGTTGGAATTCCTGTCAATCGTGCATTGTAAGATCTTGTCCAATGGAGTTGAACAAGCAGATTTTTGTTCATCAGTGATGCATTGGTATTTTTCCAGGCAATGATCATGAACCAAAGCACTTTGCACCTGTTTTGGAAGAAAAACAGCTAACACCACTACAAAGTACACAAGAAATCCCTTAAGCCCAATTGTGTCTCTGCCAGGAACACTGACATACAAAGAAGCAAAAACTCTGCAGAGGAAACTCAGATACACCAAAATCAACAAGGAAGAAATTATGATCTCCTTCGACATCACTGCCCTCTTCACCGAAATTGACATTGGCTAAGCAAACCATATATTATGTACTCACTAGACACCATATCCACAAAGATGATGCCACTACAAAACATTTCACATCCACAGAAACCATCATGAAACTTACTTCAAGGTAATTGGGAAAATCTACAAGTAAATACAAGGTACCCCAATGGGATCATCCATATCAGGCCTAATAGCAGAAGCAGTCATGTAATGACTTGAATCCATAGCTCTATCCACCATCCAACCAAAATTATGGACACACTATGCCGATGACACCTTCTTCATCATCAAAAGTTTCCAAATTGAAGAAACAGACCACCTACTGAATAACATATTCCCTGGGATCAAATTCACATACAAAGAGGAAACAGACAACAGACTCCCATTCCTTGACATCGACATAAGGAGAATAGACAACGGAGAACTGGACACCCTTATCTACCACAAACCGTGTAAACAATTCAGATCCTCGGCTTTGCAAGCCACCATCCCTCAGCACACAAAAGTAATGTGTCCAGGCCTCTTCAAAAGGGCCAGGACATACTGCAGCACCACAACATTAAGCAAAAACGAAACAGCTGCTTGATGTCTTTTCCGATAATGATTATCCCAAAAATGTCACACACATCACCCAAACCACAACACATCACGTACAAAAAATAACCTTGACATATCTGGCTTAGACTTTCATAAATCTGATAAAGTCAGATTTAGTGCTCATGACTATTTAATTGAGCCTGCAAATTAGTTCTCTCCATCCGCCATTATAATAATAAAGACACTTGGGCAATATCTTTTATTTTTAAATTCACCCAACCCCCAATAGGTTATTTATACTATGAACTGAAACTGTTCTTTTTTTTAAAAAAAAGCCCTTGGGGAAATGGCAAGAACAAAATAGGTAAAATCTCATAAAAATACAGTACAATATAAAAATTTATTGATGGCTTTGGAAGGAGAAGAAGAAAAATGTAAAGAAATCTGCATGAATAAAGATGGATGAAGATGGTAAGTCATGTACCTATATTTAATTTGAATTACACATTATTTGTTCCTTTCTTCAATTAAATATTCATATATCTTCCCTTTCCTTTGCAATTAAAATTCCAACAAAATGCAGATTATAGTTATAAGTGTTGGCTGCCCAAATCATTCTTCAGTAACATTTATTTAAGGGGAGATATTAAAACATCCTAAATTAATCAAGTAAAGCAAATAATAACTTATCCCATAGTTTTCCCCTTTACTTCCACCTTTAGTAATCTCGGGCTGTGTCAGTATATAAAATGGACTGTCTAAAAACATTTTCATTCACTTGATAAACAAGCTGACCATACAGAATTCCTAATTCAAATTATGTTGTCAAATAGAACTGGGGTTCTGATTTTAAGCCATTTTTTTTCAGTCCACATATTGTGTATATTCCAAGAATATAACAAATGTAATTCAAACCCCCAGTTCATTTAGGGCCATTAATATTTATTTAAAAAAATGATGGCTTAAAAATAATGTAACAATAACATTCTCTCCATCTACATGCAGCAAAATACATAAGTATGGCTAATCCCAACCCAACCCAAGTAAGTTATTTCTATAACAATTAAAGGAAGGAATTTAGTATAAATTATAATTCTGACTTTACAAAACTAAAGCGCAGAATCTCAGAGCTATTCTATAAAATCTCAAAATCTTTTCTATCTAAAATTGTGTATTATACTGGTTAAATTCATTTCAACAAATAGTGATAGTGTATTGTACTGCCTGAACTATGCCAGTTGAAGCAGAATAAACTATTTTAAAGAAGAGGAGTAATTTCAACTATTTTCACATTGACATGTTTGAATATACTTGCATTCATTTCCAACTTCCAGAAGCTTTTATTTGATTTGATGAAAGCAATCTTGTTGCTTTAGGCTCTCACATCTGATTAAGTTAGTATTAGAAAATGGTTTTAATTAAATCAATAATTTCAAGTATCTCTAAAACCTCTAAGATTATAAAGAAAATCCATAAGAATTGGCAGTGGTTAAATATCTGTCAGAGTTATCCTGAATTTGAAGAAAACATATTTTCATAATACTCAGAATGTTTCAATATTATTTTAGAATGAAGTTTTAAGGTAATCTTCACTAAAAGCTAATCCATCCTTCTGCAAATCATTCCAAACTGTACTGAATAGGAAATATTTTTTAATAATGTTATGTCCTATTCTTCTAGGGTATAATGTTTAAGAATGCATAATGATACTTCTGAGTTTCTTCTCTGGGAATTCTCAAAGATTTGGGAGCTACAGATTATGCATGTGGCTTTGCTACTGATATTCTATTTAATGACTGTAACATGGAATCTTCTCATTATCTCAGCTGTTGTTTGTGACCACCATCTTCACACCCCCATGTACTTCTTCCTGATGAATTTAGCCATGCAAGACATTGGTTCAGTATCAGTCATTATTCCTAAAACTCTTTTTAATTTTCTTACAAATATAAGAAGTATTTCTCATTCTGGATGTGTTGCCCAAGTCCTGTTTTTGTTATTTTTCCTGAGTTGTAATATTTCTCTCCTTACTGCCATGGCCTATGATCGATATATTGCCATCTGTAACCCTTTACATTATGAAATTATAATGAACAGGAAGGCCTGCACCAAGATCATTGCTGGTGTATGGACTGCCAGCCTTCTTAATGCATCATTACACACTGTTTTCACTTTTATGACTCCTTTCTGCTCTAATAGTATAAACCAATTTTTCTGTGAAGTTCCATATTTACTTAAGATTGCCTGTTCTGAATTATATGTATCTGAAGGATTTCAAATTTTCAGTGCTATGTTAGCCATTGGTTGTTTTGCCTTTGTCATTGTGAGTTATGTACATGTCTTCTCAGCAGTTCTTAGAATTCCTTCTGTTCTAGGAAGAAAAAAGGCCTTCTCTACTTGCTTACCACATGTGGTTGTTTTCTTCATATTTTTATTTACTTCTTGCCTTGCTTACCTCAGACCTACAGCTGACAATGAATCACATCCAAACTTCATAATAACAATAATGTATTCCATTATTCCATCTATGTTGAATCCGTTAATCTACAGCATGAGGAACAAAGACATCAAGGTTGCTCTTTTGAAACTTTTTGGTAAAAAAAAATATTGTTTTTTTAAGGAGAATATGTTGTACATCTTATTTTCAAATAAGAGACAGTAAGAGAGCTGATACAAATAAGATGCAAATGTAAATATTTTCACAACAAGTTTCCACTTTCCAATATATTATATAAAGTTCAAAGGGTTTTTAAAATTCATGTATGAGATTTGACTTACAGTATCTCTGCTAAGGTTGAACTTGTAGTGCACTGAATCATCTCTGACAGGTTTTTTTGTATAGATTTTATTAGTTTTTATAGGGTTAGGAGTAAGGTAGGGTTGGGATTAGGGTTGAGGTTTGGGTTAGGGTTAGAGTTAGGGTTGGGGTTGGGGTTGGGGTTTTTCCAAATAACATTTTCAATATTTAGCAAACAGCATAATGTCTGGGTACATGTATTTAACTAACAATAATAGATATAGTTAATTATCATAAACAATATGTTAATTCTTCACTCAATAGCCTTCTTGCTAATATAAATTTAAAATTAAATATCACATTCCTTTCTCTCTGACTCGTTTTTCTAGCCATTGGTAAAAATTTTCCCATGTTCTAAAGTACACTGAGTCTTCTTTTTCCTTTATCTTTAAAGTCAATCTATCCATTTCTGCACACTCTAGAATTTTCTTAATTAGTACTTCTTCAATTGGTAAGTTTTCATTTTTCCAATGTTGGGCAAATACCATTCTTGCTGCCGTTAATAAGTGTAGTATTAGATATCTACACTCTTCTCATAATTAGCTCCTATTATTCCTAACAAAAATAATTCTGGTTTAAAGTCTATTTGTTTTTTGGTCATTTTCTCCAACCATAAATGTATTTTAACCCAAAATCCTTTTGCTTTGGGACATGTCCACCAGATATGATAATAAGTACCTGGTCTCTGTTTACATTTCCAGCAATTGTTTGAAGTATTTTTAAACATTTTTGCTAATCTCACTGGTGTCATATGCCATCTGTAAAACATTTTATATAAGTTTTCTTTATATGCCACTGCTTTAGTTAATTTAACATTTCTTTCCCATAACTTTTGTCAATCTTCTAATTCTATGTTATATCCAAAATTCTTTGCCCATTTTATCATTGTTTCTTTTAGTTGTTCTTCCTCTATCTTTAAGTTTAATAGAAATCTATAGAGTTTCTTAATCAACTTTTTGTCTGTTTTTAACAGTATTTGATCAAATTCTGTCTGTTCTTTATAAAATCCCGTTGTTTTAACATCTTTTTCATATCTCGTTTGAATTTGCAGATGTGGACACCATGCTAAATCAATACCTTGTTCTTGTACCTCTTGTCTGTTTTTCAATTTTCCTTCATTGTCCAAAATATCTTTATAAGTTACAACTTTATCATAGTTAATTAAATTTGGGTAAGCAAAAGCTTCCATTGTTGCAAGCCATTTGGGTATCTTAATGTAATTTTTTTCTTTTATTCTTTCACATTCTGAAAGAAGTGCATTCTTTATAAAATGGTTTTAAAAATATCTATGTATTTTATTCTTTCCATACCACAGAAAGGCATGTCAACCGATTTGCAGGTCATGCCCCTCTAGATACAATAGTCTTTCATCTCTAAGCATTATCCATTCTTTAAGCCATGTTAAAATGGTTGCTTGATAATATAACCTCCAGTCCTACAGTCCAAATCCTCCAGTGTCTTTTGCTTCTTATAGCATTTTCACTTTGATTCTAGCTTTTTTTCCTTGCCAGATAAATTTCAATATTATTGTATTCAGTTCATCAAAAAAGGCTTTTCCCAGGCTTACAGGAATCGTTTGAAATAAAAAAGTACTTTTGGTAAGATATTTTCACTGTTGCTATTCTCCCCAACATTGAAAGCTGGAGGTTCTTCCACTTTTCCAAATCCAATTTTATTTGTTTTAGCAGTCTTACATAATTATCTTCTTTTATTGTTACTCATCTTGTTGTTAAATAAATTCCCAAGTACTTGACTTTTTTAACTATTTGAAGATTTGTTTTTTTGTTAGTTGATTTTTTTTGTTTTCTGTTAAATTCTTTGTTAGCACTTTAGTCTTTTCTCTGTTTATTGTCAACTCTGCCACTTCTCCATTTTTTTCTATTTTCTCCAGAAGCTTAGTGCTTGTTTCCAGTGGATCTTCAAGTATAAAAACCAGGTCATCTGCAAATGCTTGTAATTTATATTTTTCATCTTTTATCTCTAGTCCTTTAATTTCTATATCTTGTCCAATGTTTCCATTCAGTACTTCCAATGTTAATATGAATAGTAATGAAGATAGTGGACATCCCTGTCTTGTGCCCTTTTTAATATTGAAGTTTTCTGTAAGATCTCCATTTACATGAATCATCTCTGACTGTTAATGACTACAGAGACATACATGTTCAATTTTCTTGCCAGCATTTTAAGTAATAGCTGAGAGAGGAAGTTTCCTGCAAGGACACCTAGTTGGGTAGTGCTGGACCCATGTTCATTTTTTTCCAGTTTTTGACTTAACCACATGATACTGGTTGTCTCTGTCAGAATATTTAGACAAAAGTTTGTATCTTTTATTTGATGCCAAAGTGTCAGAGATAATTTTCACAACAATTATTCTGCGAAATACAGTTAACAGATAAAAAATTAGAATTGTATGAAATATTGAATTGAATGGAACTTTACATATTTCCAGTATGGATGCAGTACAGAAAATCTATAAACAATGTATTTATTAGGAAAAAGCATTTGAAAATAAATAATCCTGTTGGCGTAGTTTATAAAAAAAATTGCAAATAGTGTTCAAGAATTTCATATGAAAAATGTTTTAAAATTTCTATGAATATTGATGTGAAATTTATAATAAATCTTTAATGAGAAACATAATACACATGAGCTAATTACCATCCCTTTTTATTGAGGTTTTCATTTTTTATATGTTAAAATATGTATTCATTTATATGCTTCCTCAGTTCCACAGTAAGTCTAGGAAGCATGCATAGTAAGGTCAAAGCAAAACAATAGGGATTGTATAGTACGTCTGTCTATATCAGTTACAAAGAAAGATGTTTATATATAAAGACATCTCCTACTTTTTAAAGCATCAAATAAACATGGATAATCCAATCTTTATGCAGAAAGTTCATTTATTAAAAGTTACTGTTTAAAAAAGGGAGGTAAATAAAATTGGCTTGAATAGGATCTAAGTAGTTTACATTTCTACAGTATTTATTGGCACATTACTTACTTCTTCAAGAAAACATGTAAGGTACTTGTTTACTACTTGCTTGCATATTAAAACCTAGAGTTGACAGTGCATCCCATTCAGACTTCATAACATCAATAACATATTCCAATATTCCACCTATGTTGAACATTAATTTACAGCATGAGAAATAAAGATATCAAAGTTGCTTTTTTAAGGCTTTTTGGACAGAAGTTTTTTTTAAGAGAATGATCTATGCATCCACTTATTTTCAAATTTCAACAAGAAAGTAAGAAAACTGACATAACATAATTGGTTTGACTGTGTTCCAACTTTTTAATAGGAATTAAACCAATCTGGAAGCTGATCTTCTGTGGTCTTCACTGGTAATGAGAATCTGGAAACAGCTTACAACCAAAATTTCAAATATTAATTAGTATTAGCAGTAATGGAGGAATGCCATTTTAATTTATAGAAACAACAAGTATGGTTAAGATAAGAGCAAAGAGATTATGCAAACACTTCTATTAATTAACTGGACAAGTTTAATGTATCATTCAATTAACCTTTCCCTGCAATTGTAATGCATGCATGTAAGTATATCTTCCCAAATAATATTAGCACTTCACATTTATAAATAAACATAATCTCAGGACTGATTCAAATATTACAAATTACAAAAGAATTATAAAGGAAAATATAAAATTTGAAGAAATAATATCTAAAAGTTCATTATCCTTTTCTTCTAAACTTTGTTATAGTAATCTTTACATGAGATAATACCAAGAATTTATTCCACATGCCTTTAGTAAAAGTATAACAAAAAGATCAGGTTGGTTAATGAAACTCCTTCCTTCCTTCCTTCCTTCCTTCCTTCCTTCCTTCCTTCCTTCCTTCCTTCCTTCCTTCCTTCCTTCCTTCCTTCCTTCCTTCCTTCCTTCCTTCCTTCCTTCCTTCCTTCCTTCCACTCTATCATCTCTGTCTATGTCTCTCTTTATTCAATTTCAATTCAATTCAAAGAGAAACACAAATACAAAAACAAATGTATATATCAAACAATAATGTAGACACATTCATCAAATTAATTACTTATTAAGATATAATACCCAGACAAAATAATAACATAAAAATAAACACAAATAAGAAAGATGCAAAAATCCTTCCAAGAATTAACTTATCAAATTGATGTAAATCATCTAAACATACCATCTACTCATTTAATGATATAACAAATTACACTTTTCTCATTTTTAAAATTATTATAAAATCTATGTAAAAGTGAAACTTATTCTGTCAATTTTTAGTAATTAAAAAAGCCTTTTTTAAAATTAATAGTGTACACTTTTTTGCAGAATATATATTGAAGGAAACTGTATTGGAAGAAAAGGACATGGCTCTAAAATTATGGGGAGACTCTCCAATCACCTGCAATATGCTGAGGGTGCTAGCCTGAAAGTTGAAAAAGCCCATGATCAACAACTTCTAGGAATGAAAGGCAAGGACCACAGTAGAAATAAAATGACGATTTAATATAAAGAATAACAAACCAAAGCCAACATGAATAACCTATTTTCAAATTAACAGTGAAAATCTTGAAGTGGTAAAGAGTTGATCCAAAAAGACAGACAGTTCAACTATACAGGTAGTCCTCATCTTGTGACCACAATTGAGCCCCAAAATTTCCATTGCTAAGCAAGGCAGTTATTAAGTGAGTTTTGCCCCATTTTATAACCTTTTTGCCACTGTATTTTAGCAAATCACTGCAGTCATTATGTGAATCATGTATTCATTAAGCAGATGTGGCTTGTCTCATTGATTTTGCTTTTCAGAAGCCAGCTGGGAAGGTTACAAATGGTGATGACATGACTCTGGGACAGTGCAGCTGTGATAAACATATGCCAGTTGC